CCGGACCCCGTGCTGGTGATGGTATCTTGGTGTCTATGGGGATTCTTTTACACTCAGATCTCATGCTACGTTTGTGCGCGCTGTTACTCGCCATGTTCGAGGCCGCGCCCGACCGATCTGTTCGTCGCAGGAAGCCATGGACCAGTGGGTTAAGTCAGCATATGTTGTAAGATATATGAGGGCGCTTGGGTGTAACTACGGTATCGACAAGAATGGGACCTCGTAGGTTAGCTTGTTTGCCTTGACACATCTGCTTTTCGTTCAGAGACCCGGTCATCCTATTCAAAGTGGACGATTTTCTCTCTCATCGCCTTGTGATGCATTCGTAAATCTTATTTTCCTTAGGTAGGGCTTATGTCAAGTTGGCAATTGAGCATTGTGCTGGAAATCGACCCCTAATATTTTGGTTTGCCAACAGCTAATTTACACTTCAGACATTCGCCGGCCGCTGTCCGCTTTTGCTCTTGACACAATTCATGAGTGCGTCCTACGTCTACCCCGATACTTTTAATTAATCCGGCAACAGGGATGGCAACGAAGTGACCACCAGGTATGGGCCCTACAGTAAGGGGAAGGAAGATATGCCACTTAAGTATTATCCTTTCTTGTGTAGGATCTTCGTGTGTGACCAAGGTTTTCAGTCGAAACGAGGCATATCACAGCATGCGAATTTTCCGGTGTTTATATTTCCTCCACACCACCTTTAAGATCTTGCTTTACTATCCCCGCCTCTGGGAGGGCATTGAGTTGTTGCTGTCTTGTGAGTAGAACATTACCGACAAAGAAAACGGAGACTGGAATTACCATCTCTGGCCTAGTAGTCGTCGCCAGCCAGGAATACCCAACTCCGAAGTGTGGGACGCCTGAGGTTCGACCCAGCAACCTGTTGGTTAGAGAGAGGAATTCGCTTTATTTTGAAGTCATAAATTCAAACTTTTCAGCAAAAAATTGGCCTTATTCACTATGGGTAGTAAGTAAGTTAATAGATTATTCCCGAGTCAAAAAGTTTAACACAAAAGGAGCGGTTATCATGAGGACAATTCAAGTCTTAGCTTCTGCATTTCGATCTCTTCGCACGTAAGATAGCGCGTCAGGAATGGCAATACAGAAGCGACACGACATAAGTTGGAAGCTGCGGCGCATCGGGCGGGAAGAATTCGCAGAGATTGGTTCAGAATGCGAGATGGGCAACGTCATCTATAATCTGACCAGCAAACTGCATGACCGTACTGAAATGTCGTTGTAGGATAGTGTCGACAAAAAAGATAAGAAACACCAGCGGCAGAAGAGAGCATTTGGAGGACTTTTTTGGGCAAATCAGGAAAAATGACGCGAGGGCAGTATAGGATAAGAGGAAGAATGCAGGCATCGATGAATCGCCAGACTAAGGATTGAGGTGTGTGTTAGGAACGTAAACGACGAATGTAATAAAGAAGTTTACGAACTTTAGTAAATAGGGACTCAATATGGAGGGAAAATGAAAGATTTGATGACAAAGTAGCGCCAAGGCACCTAAAAGGGATACCTCGTCAGGAAGGATGTCAGAGGACTCAGGACTAGAAGAGGGCCGCAGTCGGAAAATACACTGAACTGATTTCTGGTTGTTCATTAGGAGACCATTTTCCTCCGACCATACTAGGACATGGTTAAGACCATCCTTTAGAGACCGGAGGTGTGTCCGATTTTGGAGAGTGTCCAACAACCACATCATCAGCATACTTAACTAAAAGACAGTCGTTAGGGGATCTTAGATCGTCGGTGTGGAGGGAGAGAAGGTGAGGGGATAGAATGGAACCCTGAAGAACTCCGCAGTCATTGGGAAGGACCATAGATTTCAGCGTACCAGACTGGACAAATTGAGTGCGGGAAGTAAAATAATCACTAAGTCAAGAGACGACCCGGCCTGGAGAGCCACACGCGGGTGTTTTGGTAAGGAGAAGAGGGCGCGGGCCGGTGTTGAAGGCGGAGGAGTAGTCAAGAAAAGCGCATGCGTATTCGCGGCAACCCGTGTCTAATTCATTAAGATCAGAGTGGACCACAAGAACAACAGCGTCTAAAGTACTGCGTTTGGCTTTGTATGCAAATTGTAAAGGGTCGGAAAAACTGGAAGAAAAAGGCTTTATAATATCTATGG